CCCCCCCCCCCTCCGCCTTTCTTGCTCAAAATCAGAATCTAGCGTGCAGCGTCCTCACATGTTCCCTCAACAACAGTAAAATACAAAGCAACGCCAAAAAAACGACAATTCACCAACAAATTCCGGATCCATTGCTCTGGTTGGCTGTGAAGGAATGTGAACAAAGTCCAGTGCCATGAAGCGACAACCACGTCTGTTAAGCGTTTAGCATACTATAGTAAGTTACTTGAGCAATCCAGTTTTTGCATGGAGCCTATGCTCCATGCTCCAAGCACACAGGGCCTGGATTCAAAGGAAGTTCAGAAGTCTTTAGCTCTCAGGGCTACTGGCGAGCTGTAGGTGCGTTGGTCGCATAGGGCTCGTAATGGGAAGAATACTGCTGGTACTTGTAGCTGTTCAGGCTTCTACATACCCAAATCGTGCCAAACCATGCCGAAACTGTAGTCAAGCTTCACGTCTCCAGACTTCTGTACAGTAGGGCTTGCTGACGGGAGCTTCCAAAATCAGCGGGGGCAAGAATACTGGGCACGAATCTGTTCTCCCCGAAAGCCCGAAACCGATCGGGATGCGGCCGTAGGACACAGATCTGGAGCGGTTTACGGCTGGGATGACTGACAGCCCTTCCCTGCAGGGACCTTGAAATCCAGGCAAAGAAGAACCAGATAACGCATGGGTGTTTCGCAATTTTAAGAGCCGTCGGACGTGTACTGGAATTCTTAGGGTATTGGCTACATTTAGCGTGGTATAAGCGTTCAAGCATCTATCGTGCGAGACTAAGATAACAACCTCACCTTTTCAGTATTCGTTTGGTTATTATCACTTTTTGCTGCCCTACGTTGGGAAGGGAGCTCGAATCTGGAGATCTTGAATATTCAGATTCGGAGTCTCAGGATTCGGACTAGACTCGACCTTGGGAGCAGCTGTCTAGATTCAAAAGTCCGTGATTTATGTGGTACTTTCCCAAAATAAGGGGACCCCAATATAGACCCCAAAATACTATAGTCCTTTGGGTACCCCTAATTTTGGGAAACCCCCATGTCAATGTGTGGTTACCATCCTTGCTCTTATCGTAGTAGCGACTGACCAGCAGACGAAGAGCAACATGGGTGAACAACAGCATTTGCGCACACACCGTATATAGCCCCCCCCTAAGTAGAGAGAATATGGGGTATATGGGGATCTTAATATATGTACCCAAAGAATCCATACTCTATCTTCGTAAGGGGGACAATACGTCCCACAATCTCTGACAAGTGTCTGCGAGAGCTGTTACCGCCAACAAAGTGTGACCCAGAACCCAACTTCAGGCTGTAGGGTTAGGATTTAGGGGTTTAGGGGTAAGGGTTTAGGGGTAAGGGTTTAGGGTTGGGGTGTAGGGCAGCGCCCATTCGATGTTCCATTTGATTCTCCATTGTTGTGCCAGACATCTCAACAATATTCGCATAAAACCTTTCTTATTCCCCATGATATTTGAATGATATCCCTAAACCCTATGTAATCCCTTTGAAGGAACCTTGAACCCTAATTAAAAGCCCACTGAGCTTTACTTGCTGAGAAATGCGGGCAAAAATGGCGCCTAACAAGACTTAAGCCCTGAACTATAACCCCAATATACCCCCTACATAACCCCATACCCCTCATTATAGTAGCTTTATGTTATTTTCCATTATCCCAACATAACCCCTACTGGTACCTATATAATCGCCAAGATCCCATGGCCTAGGCCTGCAGTACCAACTGCAAAGTCCGAAGCAGAGGAAGCCGAGGCGAATTAGGGTCAAAATCTTTCTGGGGATTTATGGGGATTACGTAAAGTTGTATGGGGATATTTTGGTGAGAGAGGTCCCAAGGATCGAGAATCAAACGGAAATTTTAAGAGTTGGCCATGAAATTGAAACTGGGATTATATGGTGGATTCCGCGGGTAAAAGGGTTCATGGGGAGCTGAGGGGAGGCTGAATTGGGGGGGTTTAGGGTGTTGAGGGACCTGTTGTGTAGAGCTTAGGTTTTAGAGTTTGGCGGACTTGGGGTGTAGGGTTGGTTTCAGGTCTGAGTGACTTCGGCTGGGATTCAGGGAGTTCAGGGTTTAAGGTTTAGCGGTGTGCTCTTTAGAGTTTCAGGGTTTGGTATTTAGGGTTGAGGACTTTGGATTTAAGTGTAAGTCAAGGTGTAGGACTAGTACTTAGACTTAAGGTCATGTGGCGAACTGGCACTTATTAGGAATCCAAGCAAGGATTCATTGAGGACTTCTATCTCTGCAACACCTTGACGCCAGGTACAGAGAGTAGTAGGTTGTGCATGGGCAGCAAATTGCAATTGCCTGCATCAGGAGCCAACAATGGCACAGCGCACAGTTCGGCAAGACGCGGCAGACTGGGTGCAAAGCGAGGAGGGGAAGGTAATGCCACATTCTGTTTAGGGTTGTGTAGTCTTGGGATATCATGATTGCTACGTTGAAATATTGCACTTTAGGTTCCCAACAGATGCAGGGTATCAGTTTCGCCAGTATGGGTAGCAGGCCCATCTTTCTGGAGTCTCCTGGCGAGCAAGGGGCGGCACTTGAAAGCAAGGTCAGGGCCCCTCTGTGCCCAAGTTCCAAATGCAGCTGGGAAACCTCGTAAACTAGAAGCCCTAGCAATAAGGAATAGTATCCCTGTCACCTTAGACGATTGTGGCTCAGTATTCCTCAACATAAGATTCTGTTCTGATATGTTCTGATCATTTTCCCCTACATGACGGCCAGTCCTGTCAAACAATAGGCTTAGTACAAGCAGCATAGTTACAGGCTGTCTTAGGGGGCTTCGAAGTGTATTTATAGCTACTACCACCCTCCTGTTGTCCTCCATTATGTGGGTGAGTTGGGGTTCAAAATCTTTCTTAATTAAGAGCCAGCCAGGAGAGTGCATGGTCAAGTTTCGCTAAGTCTGCCCTGGGAAGTGGCGAGGTGCAACAGACTGCGCCTCACGTGCCAGGTTTAGCATTTAGGGGTTTGAGTTTAGGGTTCAGGTCTTCTGAGCACACAGTTTGGTTATTGCCTACCACCCTAGAAGAGTCACGCAGTTTCCCAATCTTAGTGACCTTAGGTCCTTTCGAAGGAATCCCGCCCCATACAGACCCCGAATCGCACAAGCACAGTCCCTGCAATAAAACCTCAAAATGGAAGCGATGGTTTGAGAAGCCCCGCCCCCATACAGGTTGCATGCGCGGTTCGGTAAAGGAATCTTTGTTGGTCCCTGTGAGGGAGACCATGAAGGAAGGTTCAAAGGGAATGCGTGCATCAGGCACTTTGCACTGTTCTGTTTTTTCAGGCAAGGTTCATTCACTTATGAAAGGCTTCTTCAAGGCGATCTTGGAGCTTTGTGGTGCCTTGCGAATAGATCAACTATTGGGGGGCGAGCAGTTACAAGAATTGTCATGGAATCTTTGGGATTTCTGTTACGCGCGCGGGGTGTAGGGGGATGATACGTTGGTATGTCCTGTGCCGTTATTGAAGAATTCCTTGGCAGTTGAGAAGTTGCATTTGCAGAGGCATCTCGGCGCGAAGCATTGTCCAGTGTTTCGTGCAACACAAGTACAGAAATTACCTTCATGTGCGAACATCTGGTCTAGCAAGAGTTGCTCCAAAGCAAAGTTCGTGCTACTGCTACTGTTGCATCTTAAACGGCAAGTTGAAACTAAGAAGCCGTAAGCTCTTCTGCTTACCTGTGTCTGCCTGATTTCCAAAGTTGCAGAGAATTCATATACCCGTATTCTGACAGATCTCGACTTTGAAGCGGCTTGGTAGCCATGGATGCGCTTCCGCTCACAGTAGTGGGCAGAAATGCACCAGTCCCTGCTCAAACGCTGCCGGTTTTGCCAACTTCTGGACATGGTGCGCATGCTGCATATAGACCTCAAAGTAAGCAGAAGCTGACTAGAAGCAACCATGCCGTTTTGACGAGCTTCGCTGCACTTGGCCTGCGAAGACTTGCCATCCGCGGCCGCTGGCAGTGCTTAGCTGCAAGTGAGCGAGGCGAAATTGAGCAACTTCTGGAAGCCTTGCAAGGAGTCTGGGAAGATGACGTGGGCCTCAGCATTTCTGTTAAAGGTACAGATGTCGATTTCGGAGATGGCTCTGGGCCCTGGGAGGTGAAGGCCAAAGGTTCAAGTCTCTACCTCCGTGGCACACGCTTCATCGGAAGCCCTGAAGCTCCTGCGTGGGAGTTCCCCAATGGCGTGCAGCGGACCTGGTCCCGACCAGAGCCACTGAGCCCTGAGCAGGAGACATGGCGAAGAGTTTTCCTAGAGTACAAGGCTGGTCGCTTGCAACTGCGACGGCAGCTCTGGGCGAGCCTTGTGGTAGAGGATGGCGAGCGATCAAAGGAACTGCTTGACATCTGGAACTCGGGCAATGCGACTACCCTAGAATCAGATATGCAGCACTTTTGGTGTGTGCTCACCTGCACTATCCTGCACGGGCTCTAAGGTGACGGGCCATGATGATGGTGAGTACAGCTTTGAGCAGCAGGCCCGGCTGTCAGCTGGACGCTTCATCGCTCCTTGGTAGGATTTCAGCTGGAAGAGATCAATGGCATCACTGGTCGAAACATCTGCGTAACTATCTTTCCAATGTACATCCAGTCATATTCGCATCTACCATTCATATCCATTCAGGTTTCCATGTTATTTTCCATTATTCCAATAGAACCCTATATAACCCCAATATAACCCCCTATAATTTAGTAGTTTCCATTTCATTTTCCATTATCCCGATAGAACCCTAAGTCCTGGAGGGGTGCTTCAAGTCTGTTGGCTGCCCAGGTTCCCGGTACGCGCACCTCAGCTGCAAACTCAATGCCCAAAGCTTGGGGAGTGACTAAACGAAGAAGACCGAGGGCTAATATTGAGGTTCTAGAGGGATAATGGAAAAGAACATGGAGACTACAGGGATTATAGAGATCATATAGGGATTTTTTAGGTATTCTAAGATTTATATTTTGGGGTTATATTGGGATGATAACATGTAGATCCGGCTTAGGAGGATCTCGGAGGGCTTAATCTGGCTGATCTTGAGAAATCGCCGTCTCAATAGACATCCTATGTTTGGACCTCGGGGTCTTCAGGACAGAAGTGTATCAACTAGTAACTACTGGTAGCATTATAGCACGGGTACACTTTTCTGCGATGGGTCTAAGATTGCCAGTATCGGCCTCTTTTGAGCTATAGACTAAACTCGTAGTATCCCCCTTACAAACCCCTAAAATCCTCCCCCAATAATCCCTATAACGCGCCCTTTGAGGAGTTTAGATGAATGCTGCAATGTGTGTTGATGGTGCGCCCAACGAAATCAGATCAGCAGGCTTGGAATGATTCTTGGGAATGCAGTCCGCCCTAAGTAGATCAAGTATGGGCTATATGGGGGTCTTATTATAATATACCCAGATTCAATCTACTAGAGGGGGACTATAAGCACGGAAAACGGCTTAGGGTTCAAGGTTTAGGGTAGTTGTTTCTGTGGAACAAGCCTCTAAAGCAATCCTATCCAGATGGGAGCGCCCCATGTTGGCAATTACTTCAAACTACTTCTGCAATCCATGAGTCTATACATCTTAATACTTGTCCCGGATTATGCGGATTTTTCTGCAACTGAACTCGGATCAGATCTATCCACTGGGACTGTTGCCTCAGACCCATCATCAACAGGGACAGAACCCATCCTAGTTCAATACTTGGAAATTGAAGGCATTACTCTAAATCAGTTATGTAGAAGGCACTGCTTCTGGGCAACCAGGCCTTTGGTGATCTACATGCAACATACCCTGGTTTAGGCTTTAGGGTCTCGGGTTTAGGGTTAAATCCAGGGGCTTAACGTGAACCATACCCTGCACGGTGGGTTCTGAGTGATGCCCTGTGAAGTCAGATCTGGTTCTCGCATGCTCTCTATTTGGAGGATGACCTGCCCCCCCAGCCCCAACTGCAGTGGATTCCCTGTGAAATCAGGCCTATTCCTGTCGAATTCTTGTCAAATCCTTTCTGTTAAGAGGACTCTGCTTTTTAGAAATACTAGAGGACCCCTCAGGGCCTGTGCAGGAGTCCCTCGAGTCCCTCTGATCTTGAACTTGCTATATTTTGAGGGGGTTTAGGTGAACGTCATTTTTTGAGAAACAACCATAGTCGTTCGATGGTGTTCTGCCGGCCTGCAGTTGGAAGATTTCGGACGATTTTTCAACATTGAAATGGGGATTTAGAGGACTACTTAGGGCTTGCAGGGCGGGCATACCTTGGGAACATCAGGGGCCTGAGGCTTTGTTCACCGTCGCTATGGATATCGGGCCGTGGTGGTCTGCTGTGAACCCTGGTGCAATGCCGGTAAGGCTTGGCGCCGCATGATGGGCATCCTCCTCAGATGGGCTTCGGCCACTTCAAAGGGATTCTGCCGGGGTTATCTAGGGATAAAGACGCGGATGGATTGCGGAGTATGTTCCAAGGGTCCGAATGGCTGTGGGATCGCAAGGACTTTGAAACCCTTAGAAACGCTCTGATCTCTGAGGCCTTGAAAGCTTGAAAAGATGAAGGTCCTGCAGGGGGTTTTCTTTTATGATTCTACAGTTGTCCAGGGTTGAGGGCTGGAGACTCTCCATTCACCATTCTCTTGTGGGCCGCTGACTGTTGGAACAAGTTTGCTTCAAGCAACGGCCGCCGCCCAAGAACCCTGCAAGCAGGGTAATAGCGGCCTACTGCTCATGTGTTTCATTTCTGGCAGCACGGCGGCATCAGGTTTCTAGCTTTGGGACCCTCACTTGTGAAAGACGGGCAGTTCTCAAAGTAGGGGCTCCCATGTGTCTCCCATAGCCCTGTGCCGCACCCAAACTCGACACCCGCAAAAATTTCGAAATCACAGGCGTCTCCAGCCTCCCGAGGGGCGAGCTGCAGCCATTCTATCACTGCGCCTTGCCTTGACTTGGATCTGGATTTTACTGTTACGTTGGTCCTAACACCTCACCATGCCCAAATGAGAGTAAATGCAGACATCATAGCCATCTATATGAAGTTCACAAGGCGATCAATTGTGACAAGGAATTGCAAACCATTCCGAACCTCTAGCATGTTGGCTTCTGCAAGCAGTTTCCTGGCTCACGTCACTTTCTTCCACAATGTCTTAGATTGCCCAAGTAACGCACGGCATCAACCTCATATCCTCGCAACTAGGGGCCCACCATATTATCCGTTTGGTAAATTACAGTATTTACTGGAAGTTTACGCTGCTCGCCGTAGGTTTGGTCGATGAGCGCGCGTCTTGGATGCAGGTGGGTTAGGTACCGTAGAAGCCATACTAGAAGCCTGCACAACAACTGGTCAACCTGTTATAGATTCCTAGCCAGGAACCGGGGGGCTATTAGGATCACACAGTTCACACTTGCAAACTCTCTTGAGTTTGCACAAGCCATCTAGAAGCTCACAGTCGCTATGGCATGCATTCACCAATTCGCAGCCCCCAAACCTAAACCCTACCAGCTGGACAGGGTCAAGAAGGGGCCCAGCAGTTCTAGAGCCTTAACTGAGATTTCTCAAGACAAGTGACTTGCAAGTGTGACGTATCATCATTCGTACCCCGCAAGGTACTGTGCCGTTTTGTTTTTGAGAAATCTCCAGATCTATGAGGATCGGCCAGGGGCGCAGATGACCTTCGTGGGCGAGGACTTGTCCTCCTCAAGACAGCCCCTCCATTCTGCAGAGGCATCTAGCCCCGCCTTCCCTTCCTCACCCGCAAGCCAAAATAAACGCGAAGCGACTTATGTAAGTTTTTTGGGGGGAGTCAGTGATGGGGTAGTACACCTTTCCGTAACTTATGCAGATTGTTTTTGCAGGCCTCTCACGTTGTGAGACCCGTTTATGTCCAGATGGTATGCAACATGGACCTTATGATGACTACACGGGGAGGCACCATTTCAAATGCCCCTTGGAAAGTCTATGGAGGTGAACCCATTGAGGTGCCCGAGCGTCTTGGTACTTTGGACGGCCATTGATAATGCCTCGCCTCTCAGTAGCGACTATTCCAGGCATGTGTACAGGGTTACTAACATTTGGGTCGTTCTAGAGCACGGGCCCACGAATCAAGGGCCTGCATTACATCTGCCACCACTTCGGCATCACTAGTAGCAGCTGCCTTGTGCGAGTGCTGGAGATCTGATGCCGTGTCATGTGATTTCTTGCAGGAGAACGTTGCGCCGACGGAAGAAGAGTTTGAAATCGACCATCCATTGGTCAAAACATTACTTGTCAGGTACGGCAACCTATTCACCAGCCTTAAACGAAGGCCCCTCTGCCTCCTGTGTCCCTGCCAGGTGTGATGAGCTGAGTTCTTATCTTCCATCGCCACAGCTTGAACAAGCATTGAAGGACCAGCGCCAGGGCCAGACTTTTCAATGGAGTCCTGGCAGTTTTTGTCAATGCTGTTTTCACTTGCCTTGGAGCAGCTTGATTCTGTGCTTGCAAGCCAAGGAACTTCTGATTTGATAGGGACTTCCGCACATTTCGCCATTGCCGAGAAGCGGCAGCTTTGCTTTGTCCTATCCAAAGAGATAGCCACAACAGCTTTGCTTGCATCAAGCACCACTTTCTTACCTCAATGGGATTTTCGTGCCAACCTACGTTTAGCTCAAGTCAAGTCAAACACAGCTGTTGACGATTCATTGATGATGCCGATCTGGCTCTTGACGCACCCGCACCAAGCGAATCGACTTGGCGACGATGTCGCCTTATCTTTTCAACTACCTCCTACTGCATGAAGCTGTTGGGTAAAGCGACAAAAACAGTTCACCTTCATATCACTGTGGCAGGGCTCTTGCTCGAGGTCTAACACACTAGCAAGCCAGCACACTGGCAGCAGGCGCGAAGCACCACTACAACGACCAGGAAGCATTTCGACGAGGCAAATTCAGATACTCGTCTTGTGACATTTGGCCAACTGCCTGGGACCTTTTCCAGACACTGGACGGTGTGTCCATGATCAACCAGACCTTGCCAGGGTGGCTTCACTCGGACGGCTTTGCCTGGTCAGGCACGAGTCTGATCTGTGCGAAACCTGCTTTCACAGCAACAGTATATTGCGATGCTACGCGCGTTGCTCTTACTGCCCCGGCTAGCTAGCTGGTCCAGATTTTTGTTGCTTGGCAGGCTCGAGACGCGTTGCGGGATGCCCGACTGAAGGTCATGGGACTGTTGGATTTCTGTTAGGAGTGCAGTTCTGGCCGCACATGTGAGCAGCAACAAATCCTACGGAAATTAGCGATTTGGTCTTTGGGCAGTGGCTGGGGCAGATGGCTCATCGAGAAAATCCACCCTTTCCATCCACCTCGCTTCCAGGTCTTTTGGCAAGGGTCGTAGGATGGCTCAGATATAAGCCCCTGTTGCACGGAGGATTTGGGAATGCCTTCGCTGAAAAATACAGCCCGGGCCCTAGCACCCGCAGAAAGTCTTCGAGAACTTGGAAAGCAACAGTATCCTGATGCATCATCCATCCACTCACCTATTACAGTGGGGGGGGGGGGGGTGTTGCTAAGT